AGATGTGTATAAGAGATACAACTACAACAATGCAATAACCTATAATTTACATTATTGTTTATAATTTAAATAATTCCTTGAAGTTTCATACTTTATCTTTATGCCATAAAGGCTTAAAGAATCATAGCAAGTTTTTACATACAATTGTCACATTTACCCTATCAGTTTTCTGAGAGTTCATTGCCTTTTACTGGATTGCTCATGATTGTGAAGTTATGTTATTTGAATTGCATTTTTAGTTTTCATTCGATGTTATTGAAACAATTTATGCTAAATCACCACTGTATATAATATTTCATTATAAGCATACCTTATTTCTCTCAGTGTTGAGGAATGTTCTTGTTACCACTGAATGCAATAGGAATTTTCATGCACATTGAGTTTAATAGACATTCCCCAATATTTTAATACTATAATCCCATATATGAAAAATAGGTAATAATGTAAGTGTACACCCATATTGAATGTATGTTAATCGATTTTTTGAATATATCACTAAACTCAATATGGCTTTGAATTTACTTGTCAAGAAAGAGCTTAGATGTCATTTTAATATCAAGAACACAGCATTAAATTTCAATAAATTTTGCAGAGGACCCAGCAGCCAAGCCCCCCGTCAGTAGAGGCCACAGGTACCCCGAAGACCTCATCACCAAGGCCATGACGATGGTGCTGCTGCACAAGTGGACGCAGCGCGACGCTTCCAAGGGCTTCGGCATCCCGAGACGTCTTCTCTTCGACAGACTCAAGAACGTCAAAACTAATTTTTACAGTTTGTTGATGTCGAACCCGCACTCACCCGAAGACCTAAGCGAGGCTGCTAGACTTGTCGTGGAGGAGAACATACCTTATGCCATGGCGGCTAAAGCCTTTGGTATACCTAAAACTAAACTTCATCAACATCTAGTCCTACACTACGGAAGTTTTTTCTTCGAAAAGTTACCGTTAACTAATGGAAATTTATCGTTTGAGGTTCACGATGAAGAGGAAGTTCATAAAAATTGTTCATCTGTTGCAGTAAATTTGGATGTTGGAAGTAAGCCTAACTATATTAATATCAAGAATGAATTTATTAATGAAGATCAGGTTTCTAAACCTAAAAAAAGAAAGAGGAGCTCGTATGAGGCAAAGATTCTTGGCCTCAAACAATCCTACTCGGGGCCGCTGTGGACGAGTCAAGGTAAGTTCTTCAGAAGGACATTTTCTTTAATGTTATTGTTAAGGAACTGATAGGATTTAATTGTAGGAAATTTATTTCATAAATTTAATTAGTTATTGCCAGGTGAGTTTTAAGGAAGGATTTTTGCTATAATATTCTTTGCAAGTGAACTGATAGGATTTATTTCATGAATTTATTCAGTCATTGTCAGGTTAGTTCTATAGAAGGATCTTTTCTGTAATATTCTCGTATGTGAACTGATAGGATTTATTTGTAGGATATTTATTTCACGAATTTATTCAATCATTTTCAGATGAGTTTTACGAAGGATCTTTGCTTTAATATTCTCATGTGTGAACTGATAGAATTTATTTGTAATATATTTATTTCATAAATTTATTTAGTTATTATTAAGTGCTGCCTAGCATTATTTTATACATAGCATGTTTTTTTAATGTATTTATCCAGTCATTGCTAATTGTTATGTAACATTATTTATTGACTGCAATATGAAGAAACCAGCAACTCAGTGCCTCAATGTTTGTGATCTAAATCACAGCCAATATTTCAATCCAGTTGCAAAGACACATTGTATCAATTGTGTTTTTCTAAGTTTGTTGCAGGAATTTCTGACCATAAATCCAAACAAGATGTTTGTGGATTGTTGATATTTTCTGTATTGAAGGTTCCAAGGAATGGCTGAGCTCAGCAGATGACGTGGCTTTCAACGACACAGGTGAGGTGTAAATTTTTTACACAGCTGCCATATTTTTATAGTCCTACTACAGCTGCCATATTTATAGTTCTACTACAGCTGCCATATTTATAGTCCTACTACAGCTGCCATATTTATAGTCCTACAACAGCTGCCATATTTATAGTCCTACTACAGCTGCCATATTTACAGTCCTACTACAGCTGCCATATATACTTCCTTCACTTCCTTATATACTCACTAGTAGAGAATACAAAACAATTATTTTATTATAATATGAAATATAAATGATCCAAAAAATATAAATGTAGAAATACATCTTTTAATTTAATATAAATTATATATGTATTATTTTATATATGTCCACTTTATTTAATCATCACTTATGTTGTCTGTTATCATTCATCTCCATGTTGCTCTCTTATCTCTTGTTGTCATTAGTGCTCTTGTATATCTCACTGTTATCTCCTACTGTTATCTCCTCATAGTAGTTGCATTCAATGAATCTAAATTACTCGTTTGAATTTATTATTCAAGTTTTTGTTGCAGTTTTACACATATTGTAAACAAATGAAACTGACCTGAAAAACGTAAAAGTTTGGTTACTGCTTGAAAAATTACATATGAATCAGATTTATCATTGAATAATGTGATTAATAAAGTTTATACCGAGTCCATGAGAGACAATCCACTCTTTAATATATCGGCAATTCACAAGAGATTGTGTTATAATAATAATAATTTACAGAAGCTGTATTATAATTGAGGGGAGATTATGTTATAATAATCATAATAATAAATATTTACAGAAGCAAAATAATCAATTAATGCAAGATTGTGTTATAATAATAATAACAATAGTAATAATAATAATTTACAGAAGCAGAAGACTATGTCAGCATCACCGACTTCCTAGAATGTTCACTGGACGACAATGAAGACTGCACTGCTTCTCAAACTCCACTCAATCATGACGATGGTTGCTCAGTGACGGAGCAAGATAATCAAATCAACTTGATAAACAAAAATCTTGCTTGTAGTTCAGCCCCTACTTCAAATTTGTTGACAACATCTACAGAAGATATTTCCATGAATGATGTAGGTTTGGGTCCAGAGGGATTCACTCCACCATCAGCATCAGGCTTTGATATCACGTCTCATGGAACTGATNATCAACTGTTGAAGATACTGTGTATCAGGGGATGTATTTATCCCATGCTGATTTATCTGCAGGATCAGAGATTGATACTCCTATTGATCCTTCCCTCGTCCAACCCTTTACGGGGTTCAATCAGCCTATTAAGATTGAACCCCGTAACCTCATTCAACCCTTTACGGTTGAACCCCGTAACCTCATTCAACCCATTATGGGGTTAACTCGTGAAGGCAAACCCCGCAAGCGGCCTCAGTACCGGGTTTACACAAAAGAAACCTTGCAAGAAGCTATAGAATTAGTATTGGATAAACACATTCAGCAGAAAGTTGTAAGCCATATGTACTCTATCCCTCGTACAACCTTGCATGATCACATCGCCAAGGAAATTGTGCGTAGAGCACAACAGAAAAAATTTCAGAGTTGCTCTCTAAAAAATTCCGTGAGCTTATGTGATGTGAATTCTATGGATAGTTATGAATCAAAGCCACAGCTCCAGAATTTTATATTACCAGACACGAATTCTGAAGCAGATAACGAAACTGGTAATGTTCTTGCAAGTAAAATTCTGGATTCCGTTTCATTTGATGACAATCCAGTTTCGGAGAAAAGATCAACAGATATAATCACAAGTGAATCTTCTGAAGCATGTAATGTAAGCGCTAAAATCTTGGGTCCCGCATCTAGAAGATTGAGTGTCCGGAAAAGATGGCGCCGGAGCGACGACGACCCCAATGACCCAAACAACACCTACGACCCCAATGACCCCATCCCAGGGGACAGGAAGCCTCACAGTGCAGGTAGCTTGGGGCATTCCAACCTCTCTTATTTTATAATTTCTTTGTGAATACATTATTTTTTAAATTTTAACTTTAAAACATCCGATTCCAGCTATTCATATGACAAATGTACTCGAATTGTTGAATATTATTAAATTCGTACACACAAGTCTTACATTATTTTAAAAGTGTTTTTTTGTCTGTCAACTCAGGCCACAGAACAAGAGGCAACAAGGGTAGGAGAAGAACCACATCTAAGAACTCCCTGAACCTTGATGGTTCACTTCCTGCTGGTTCTGGTGTAGAATGCGACAGTCTTTCGAGAGGTGAGAACCGTCAAAAATATATATGATGAAAGAATTTGGAATTCATAGTTCCTAAACAGACTATCTATTTATTGTCAACATTTGTATTAATATTCTTGTAAAAACATGTTCCGAAAAAGTTTTCATGTAAATTGAATTAAAACTAAGTGAAAATTCTGTAAAAATATGTTTTAAATCCTGAAAGTGAAATTTCTTCAAAAATATGTTTTAAATCCTGATTTATTACTGCTGCATTTACCTGAATGCATAAATTATGGTGCATTGTAACCCCTGTCTAACACCTAATACTTTATTTCGCCAGAATGCAAGTGGAGAAGGAGCAAGAAAGAAAATATCGGTTAAACCCACTTTTGGACGAGGCAAAATTTTCAACACTAAATTATTGCATGGAAGAGGAGCTGCTATCACGTGAGGAAAATTTCGGCGCTGTACCAAGTTCTTTGGCTCTTCGACCTCAAACTGAATGCAAAATGAAAATAAAATCTGTATTACATCCGAATTCTGGAACCGGAACCCAGCTGGAAGTTTCTTCAAATGTGGCTTCAATTCCGGTAGATTCGACCTCACAATTGTCCACATTTAGTCCTCAGTTAAATAGTTCAGTTATAGCGAATTTAACTAGAAACAAAGAACCCATAATTGAGCCTCCTCATGAACATGAAATAAATCGTGGAGCTAATGTGGATGTCGACAACGTAATAATTGACGTGGAAGGCCACGATGCTAATGAGCATTTTGCTTTGAGTGATACGAGGGAAGCAAGTGAAGTAAGTAAAACGAGTTTAAACTGTGACCAGAACTCTTGTTCGTCTGCTGGCAAAGGAGAGAATAAATGTGTTATTGAAGGAGCGACTGCAATAAGCACGGGTTTAAGCCCTGGTGACACGTCGTTATCTGGACCTTTTCCTAGCAGTCATTCTAGAAAGATGATGGCTCCCAATGTTGATAATGGCATTAAAATAGAGTCGTTAACTCCCGCAGACTCTAGCAATCTACACCGAGATCTCGACGAGAAACTTCCTATTATTCTACCAATAACAAATACTGATGCAACCCCCCTCACTTCAGTCAATGTTGGTAGTCCCTCTGAGGAAACTGTGCCAACAGCCATTGATTCAAGTCTGCAAATAAACGAAAACTCTTCTAAATTTTTGCCAAGAAATTCTGTAAATATCAGCGAAGAAGAAATATCTTCTGGAGCCTCTAACGAAAAATCTTTGCCGAGAAATTCAGTGAAAATCTGCGAGAAAGAAAAATCTTCTGCAGCCGTTGGCGAAAAATCTTTGCCAATAAATTCAGTGAAAATCAGCGAGAAAGACAACTTATTTGAAGCTGTTACCGCAGTAGTAGAGCAAAACATGACCGTATCAGAAGCGGCTATGAAATTCGCTGTCTCTAGATCCCTGCTTCTGAGCGCTGTCAAAGAACAATCTTTGTCACAGCTTATCCAGGCTGGTCAAGCTTTCAAATCCCATATTGAAAAATTTGCCCACATCATGCAGGATCCTGTGAATGAAGAACAAGAAAACGTGAAGACGAAAGGACAAGACATGTCCAAGTCTCCAGTCAATATAGGTATGTGTGGGACTTTTTCTGTATTTTGTTACCGTTTATGGGACTTAGACACATTTTTCCTTACTGTTTGTTTATATTGTTACCGAAACTAATGTTGTTACAGTTGCTGAAGACGTGATATAATTAAGAAGCAAGTCTATGTATCTTTTTGGCAATATTTTTCGAGGAACATATGAAAATATTCAATGCATTACGATAAATTAGAAATCAATTTTTATGTTCATGTACTCAGGAATAATTTCCTAATACATTTGTCTATTATGTATTATAAGTTATACCTTCTAGCCTTAATGATTTTGTACAGTTTTTCTCACATTTTTGCAGGTCCCGACGCAGAAGACGCGGCTACATGCATGGTGAGTAACCGCTTGATGTAAGAGTGGTTAGTTAGTTACTTGAACTAGAAAACTAGTGTTTTAAATATTGAAGACCAGATAGCAATAATTACGTAGGAAAGAATATAATTTTATAATGAATGAAGCTTTAGGTGGATAAATGATGTAATTTGAAACATCATACAAAGTGAGCATATTTCAAAATATATCCCGAACATGTTATTTGACTGGTCCTATGGAAATGTCGAAGATTATGCTTGGAATGAGGCTAAATTCAGCATTTTCGATTTTTTTCTTTTAATTCCAAAAAATATTCCTTTCATCGGATTTTTTCAATTTAAGTTGTGGATACTTTTTGTGTTCCCTTTTTGTTTATTATTTATAATTGTTGAAAAAATATAATTTGTTTCTCCGTTTTTAGGATCGAAACGAACTTTGTGACCTCGTGTTGCTCGGCACAAGAATGTACTTCGATTTTGAAGCCGATGCTGGAGGTACGACAGCTGCTACCGGTGCCAAAGGTACGACACCTGCTGCCATTGCCAGAGGTACGACAGCTGCTGCCGATGCCAGAGGTACGACGGCTGCAGCCGGTTCCAGAGATACGACAGTTGCTGCCGGTGCCAGAGGTACGACAGCTGCTGCCGGTTCCAGAGATACGACAGTTGCTGCCGGTGCCAGAGGTACGACAGCTGCTGCCGGTTCCAGAGATACGACAGTTTCTGCCGGTGCTAGAGGTATGAAAGCAAATGATGCCTCTGGCAAAAGTTTCACCATAAACAACGTTCATGACAGACGTAAAATATTAAAGGATTCTGCACCTACCAAACATTCTGTTTCCAACGACGTCCTTGCCAGGCATACCACACCTCATGTTCAGCCTGCCAGAGGTACGACATGCAGAGATGCCACGAGAACATTAAAGTCTCGCGTAAAGAAAGATACTGCCAGAAGTATTAAAAGTCGCATTGTTTCAAAGAAGTTTGTTCAAGAACGTAACCTTAGCAAAAAGAATGTTCACAATAAAATGAAGAATCCTATGGAAAATGTAAGCGGAAATCCCCGTGGTGTAAAACAAATGATTGCAGGTGCCAGTGGTATGAAATTAGACTCACAAGAAGCAATAAGTTTGAAATCAAGCAAAAGTGCCAAACGTACAACAAAAGAGACAGTTGGGATAGGAACGCAGTTGCATTCGCTAAGTAAACATGTCAGTTGTTCATCAACCAACACTGTTATCCCTGTTACTAATAAAATTAGAGCTGCCAGTCGTAAGATGCATGGCAGAGGTACGAGAACTATCGATAGGAGGGTGGGAGATAAAGAAGGTTCCAGAGGTACGCAGCGTGGCGGAGGTACGATAACTATCAATAGTAGGGTGGAAGTGAAAGAATGTGCCACAGGACTCTTGCCTGAGTCTGAGAATTTGAATGTAGGTTTTGAATCTAGCTTTGAACTAGAAAAATCAATGATGGAAAGCACTGAAGGTTATGTCAGCCTCAACAAAGAATCGTCGGACGAAGCTATTGCTGTTGAAAATAATGGTTTTTCTAAGTGTGTAGGTCTGACAAAGGAACCTGTTGGTTGGATGTGTCGTGGCGATTCAAGTGACTCATAATGAATCAATGAATGAATGACTTTTGAATGAATCCTGAGGCATTACTAGTATGTATAATAGCTAATTCATTTTAAATATGACCCGAGTCGTTGATGGGACAAACTAAGTCCTTGTGAACACGAGTTTTAGTTGTTCTCAGAATCTTATACTGAGTATAAGATTATTTGGAATTATCTTGAACTGTTTTTATGTCGTTAAGGGCTTTAGTCATTTTTATCTCTTGTGTTGGATAGATTTAAGTCTTATTTGTTTTATCATTAATTCATTATATACAATAAATCTTATTATTAAACAAATTAGGAAACTACAAATACATTCAAGATTTTAAATTTTTAATGTTCATTTGATATTTCTTATAACCTCTGTGTTTTACTGAGCTGTTAATTAGATATTTACGACTATATATAAATTTTGTAGAGAAGTTTCCTTGGATAATATTAATTTTCGTTTTATTTCAGAGATGCATGAAATGTTGTAGCTTTTAAATTGTTGTATGATGACCTTTACCAACATATAACATTTACTGAAAGTGTCGTGAATATAACACATGTTTAAAATCTCGTGTAGCACAATTATTATTATTATTATTATTATTGTTATTTTCGGTCATTCTTATATCAAGTGATTAAAATAAATTGAGATTTCTGGAGTCAAACCTATCCTGTGTTATAACTTATACATTACACACACAGCTGTGTGTCGTGTTACATTCAATTAATCTGAAGCTGAAACCAAAGTCTGAAATTTGTCAATGAAATGATTTCTACAGTATGCAATGCATTCAAGTGTATGTAATGCATTATAGAGTATGAAAATATATGCAATGTCATATAAATGTTCAATGGAATAGTCTATAAGGAGGTTAGCATTCGGCCTGGGAATTTCTAGCGCATTTTCTCATTTATGGAAAAAAGGCGCTATTGTGCTCGTCATGTCCGTCCGTCTGTCTGTCCGTCCGTCCGTCCGTCTGTCTGTCCGTCCGTGACTTCACGTTTTCGTCGAGGATAAAATGTGCTCTCTGTCACTGCAGTGAGTACTGAGTTATCTTTTTAATTGATAAGCATATTATTAGTATGCATAATACATGCATAGTATTATGTATGCATATGTATGAAATATAGCATATTTCAAACAGGAAGTTTGATATCATGTATGCATTTATAAAAATCCTTTACCATACAACTTGAAGTTTTACAATAATATGAATTATACTTATGGGGCCATGCCTTACATTAGGACATATTTAATAATTAAATAATATATTAATTTCTAAACTTTTTAAAGTTCTCTACCCTGTATAATAACTTCCACTGCCCACTGAAAAAAAGGAATGGGTAATGTTGTCCAAGTATCACCGATACGCCCTTTTGTAGGGCCAAACTGGGTCAGGTTGACTCATATGAGGGCTAAAAGTGTGTCACTACCCGGACAATATCCTGCACATTTCTCTGTATGTATAGTTTTAATTGAAAAACTATGTCACAAATGACACACATTCATCAGCATGGGTCATTATGTCCGGTGTCAATCTGGCCGGAGCAACCAACACGACCTCTTACATCGCAGAGCGCTTATCAACAACTGCGGGGGCCTTACTTAAGGTTGCTTGCCCTTATATAGCCTTCAGCTTCCGCCCACATATCGCGGAGCGCTATAAACTACGGCTGGATGGCCTTACTTCAGGCTGCTCGCCCTTATATAGCCTTCAGCTTCCGCCCACACATCGCAGAGCGCTTATAAACTAATGCGGGGGCCTTACTTAAGGTTTCTAGCCCTTATATAGCCTTCGGCTTCCGCCCTCACATCGCGGAGCGCTTATCAACAACTGCGGGGGCCTTACTTAAGGTTACTGGCCCTTATATAGCCTTCAGCTTCCGCCCTCACATCGCGGAGCGCTTGTCAACTACTGCGGGGGCCTTACTTAAGGTTGCTGGCCCTTATATAGCCTTCAGCTTCCGCCCACACATCGCGGAGCGCTTGTCAACTACTGCGGGGGCCTTACTTAAGGTTGCAGGTCCTTATATAGCCTTCAGCTTCCGCCCTCGCATCGCGGAGCGCTTATCAACAACTGCGGGGGCCTTACTTAAGGTTGCTGGCCCTTATATAGCCTTCAGCTTCCGCCCACAACTAAGGTCTTGATCGCGTGTCTACCAGATGTTGACTCGTCATCACTCTCTATCATGTCAAGTGAATATTACGTTTCAATTACATACAATAATAATGATTATAATGAGATGCCAGATTGACACCGGACAATTATGACACATTTCTATACTTATTGTCTTTGCAGTGCCTTGATAGTCTTGCCTTATATGTATACTCATGTGGATCTTATCTCTGTATATGTATTCTTAGGCTGTATGTTTGTTTCCTGTATATTGTTTAGTGTGTATGTAGTTTTATACATGTATTTATAGTGCAGTAACTAGTGTTTTCCTGTTGTCTTCATTTCCAATAAATGGGTCAATTTGATCTAAAATGATTTTGACCCTAAGACTATAGGAAGATTAAGGACAAGAACATGGCTATAAACAAAAAAATATGTTACAAAATATGCATTATTATTATTATTATTATTATTATAGAACATAATTTTATTATGTTTAATATTCCCATATTCTGTATTGTATACAAGCATTTATACAAGAACCTAGTTTGTCTGGTTCTGTGTGTTCTACACATGTATATTATTTATTATTATTGAAATTTAAGAAGCAACGCTGGAAAAAAATAAGTTTGATGCTGTTTTCAATGTTTTGGTCATACAGGTTTCTTATATAATCCATACATGATAATTCAGGTTGTATTTTCTTGAATATGCTGTACTGACAATTAGTGTATGCACCACACATGCCTCTCTTGTATATTCTAAGTCATATTATATACAACTCTTATTATATATTTAATATGTATGGCCAAACATCCACATTATTAACATTTAAAACTAATAGATTAATGCTGATAAGGCATTATAGCAAATCTATAGGCTATAATATTGATATATTATTAATAATGACATATTTCACAAACTGCTCCATTTTAATTACTATTTTCAACATCTATATTTCTTATATAAATACGACCAAATTTTTTTAAAAATGTAATTCATTAGAATTTTATTCTTTGACATTTTAATGAATTTAAAAGAATTGTTGTTGTTCTTTGAATATTTGTAATTTTGAAAAAATTGTTTTTTAGACAAAAAATATTAAAATTTTCATTTATTTTTTATATATTTATTCACGATCGAATAAATAATTTTCTTTTACTTAAATTTTGTGTCCCCTAAAATTAGTTTGTATATATAATAAATTTTATTATGTGTATCTTGTACTAAACTGCTGCTACTTAATACTTATTTGTATACTAAACGTGTGTTTGGAAATTCACTCGAATTTTATGTATTAATACATAAATTTTACATAAATAATACATAAATTTTATGTGTTAATACATAAAATTATTTTAGCATCATTGAAAAACATAATACGTTCCTTATTCCTTCATATTTTCTTATTATTAACTTAATGCTGACATTATATTTTTATTATTAACTTTGAGTGCCATTAACTAATCTTTTATTTAAATTAAATATTGCAATAATGCTTGTGTGTGTGAGTTGATGAATATTTTGAATATTTTTCTGAATAATACAGAATATTTTCTGTATCCTCATGTCACTAGTGGTATGCTATATGTTAATAAATAATTAATAATTGAAATATAATTTTTTTTTATTTTTCGTTACAATTATTGTCACATAATTAAATATACTCTAACTAATTATTATATTTATTTTTAATTATTAACATCATTTGCTCTTGTACCCCACGTATATACAATTAATATACAGTCAATACAAATATTTGTATAGTTACCATGTACTATGTATACAAGGCACACAAAAATTTGTATACTCTTCGATTTCTATGTGTGGAAGCTTCTCTGTGTGACAATGTATTTTTAATCCTTTGAATAAATCTGTATTTTCTGTGTGTGTCTGTGTTTATGTGTTGTTTTCTTCTCCCTGAAGGCTGAATATACACGTGAATACAGGCTGAAAAATCTGTGTGTAATTTTGTCCGAATATTTTTTGCGCAAGTAAAATTTTTTATTTTTGTACTTGTGTGTAAAAAAATTTACACAAAAAAAATTTTGTGGAAAATTTTTTATTTTTTACTTTTTTTTTACTTTTTACAATTTTTACAAAAAAATATAATTTTTTGCATAAGTAAAAAGTGTGTCATCCTGACCCAGTTTTGTTATCAACGCATTTAAATACATTTTGAGTAACTTATTTCTTTGTGTATATTCAATTTAATCATTAGTGATGAATATCATCAAAATTAACAAGATGCTAAAAAATAGGTTAAAAAATTCCCACAAGTAAAGTATAAAATGAAAATTTATCATCTTTTTTTATAATATTTTATACATTCATACTTTTCTATAATTTATTATATGAAAAAATTTAAGAAATTTTGTTGATAGACATGAGATATATGATGGATTATAAATGCAGTCATCATATTTTTTAATAAAAAAATTTTGTGGTTTGCTATAATTTTGTTATTTTTTTATTGTTTTCATGTGCAGTTTTCATGAATTATAATGTTTTTTTATAATAAATAATTCTTCACCATTAATCAGCTTCTTGTTCTAAATTAAAAACAGTCTCAGGTTCAATAAATTCCAATGTATCTTCACTATAAAAAGTATATAATTATATAATATAAGAAACATAGCAAGATTTTCGCAGTGAGTTGCGAGTTCAATTCCAACTAGCCGTAAAAATTGTGCGCGATATCTGAGTAACTCATACAACTCTCCGGGATTTACATTTGTCTTTTGAACCTCAATAAAAACCCCAGGCGTTGCTACCATAACAAAATTTAGAGTCGCCCCAGGTTCTGGTACTCGAAATCAGAAGCTGACACGTCTGTAAATTTTCACTGGGATAAAGGTTCAAGTGTTGTTTTTTTTCTCCCTGACGGCTGAAAATGCTCGCGAATACAGGCGAAAAAATTTGTGTAATTTTGTTAAAATAGAGAGGCACTTTTTTGAAACAAGTAAAGAGTGTGTCATGCTGACCCAGTTTTGTTATCAATGCATTTGGACGCATTTTAAGTAACGTAACTTTTAGCAACGATGGAGTTTTAGAGTATATGTCTATATACTATAATACTTTTATAGTATATAAACTTACATAGTAGTATAGTATATTTATTTATATAGTATATAAATAAAAGTATATAGTAAATATTTTATAGATACTATAATACCTCGATAAATAGTTATAGACTATAAAGGTTTTCAATAATGAGTATTTCTGGTAAGTATACAATAATCAGCATGCCACGCTAGTCAGCATGCCACACTAGTCAGCATGCCACGCTAGTCAGCATGCCATGCTAGTCAGCATGCCACGCTAGTCAGCATGCCACACTAGTCAGCATGCCACGCTAGTCAGCATGCCATGCTAGTCAGCATGCCACGCTAGTCAGCATGCTGGGCGCGGATGTCACTCAGCATGCTGAGGGTGAGGGGGTCCCCCGCCTGCTGGGGGGGGAGGTATGCTGCGTTAACTCTACGGTAGCTCAGCGCCAGCGGCTGGTTGGCTGCGTAGTGGCGGGCGCTGTCGCTGCAGTCCACGAGCTGCCGGGCAACAAAACAATACAACAATAAAACTTAATAAAAATTATATAATAATAATACAACTTAATAATACTTAAACAACAATAAAACTTAATAAAAATTATATAATAATAATACAACTTAATAATACTTAAACAACAATAAAACTTAATAAAAATTTAGGTGCTGGACCGACTCTGCATCAGGCGCCGCCCAGGGCCTATACATGGAAAAAAAGCTTAGAGATCGTAAGTTCATCAGCCAATCATCAGCCATCAACCAAAATCCACCAATTATAGACAAGAAAATGGAGCGTAAGTACTTACGTTCACTTTGCAAGTCTTGAAAGTATGACCCCAGAGTTTTAACAACAAAATTTAGGTGCGGACCCGACTCTGTATCAGGTGCCGCCCAGGACTCGGGGAGCGCGTAAATCAGCCGCTCATTTCAGCCTCGGCCGGTCACACTTGTCATACTCTCAGGACACACTTGTCATACTCTCGGGACACACTTGTCATACTCTCAGGACACACTTGTCATACTCTCAGGACACACTTGTCATACTATCAGGACACACTTGTCATACTCTCAGGACACAGACTGGTCGAACAGTGTAGAGTTGGGGCAGAGGAACGACTGTATCGTCGAGCCCAGCGGCGCCGGCACGCAGAGGTGGAAGATCTGGGGATACATGTACAGTATATAGTATTTGTATTGTATACAGAATAGTGTTTGTATTGCATTTGTATTGTATACAGGATGTTATTTGTATTGTATAGTGAATAATATTGTGTACAGTGCGTAGTAGTATAGTATATAGGGAATATAGTGTATAGTATGTGTATTGTATGGTGAATGGTATTGTGTATTGTATAGTGAATAGCATTGTATATAGTATAATCACTATAATGTAATGTAAACCTGCCAGTAGTTACACTGCAGGATGGACTGGTCGAACAGTGTAGAGTTGGGGCAGAGGAACGACTGTATCGTCGAGCCCAGCGGCGCCGGCACACAGAGGTGGAAGATCTGGGGGATACATCTACATTGTGTAGTATTTGTATTGTATACAGAATGTTATTTGTATTGTATAGTGAATAATATTGTGTACAGTGCGTAGTAGTATAGTATATAGGGAATTCAGTGTATAGTATGTGTATTGTATGGTGAATGGTATTGTGTATAGTATAATCACTATAATGTAATGTACAGTGTATGGAATAAAGTGTAGTGTGCAGTATGGTATATAATATAGAATAGTATGTGATATTGTATATATATAGAATATTATTTAGTAGAGTGTACAGTAGTAAAATGGATAGAGTAAGTGAACAAAAGAAGGCAACTGTAAAAATCGGGGTAACTGAATAAATCTCTGTAACTTAACAAAAGAGGGTAACTGAACGAATCTCTGTAACTGAAAAAGGAGGGTAACTGAACAAAAGAGGGTAACTGAACAAAAGAGGGTAACTGAACAAATCTCTGTAACTTAACAAAAGAGGGTAACTGAACGAATCTCTGTAACTGAAAAAAGGAGGGTAACTGAATAAATCTCTGTAACTTAACAAAAGAGGGTAACTGAACAAATCTCTGTAACTGAAAAAGGAGGATAACTGAACAAACGAGGGTAACTGAATAAATCTCTAACAACAAAAGAGGGTAATGGTCCCCAAGGGTAACTATTACCTTGCAGCCAAGTTGCACGTCCGCGTACAGTCCCGGCAGAAACTCCCTCTCCTCGCAGAAGAACTTCGTACGGGGCAGCTTCGTCGTCTGGGGGGGGGGTAGTAAATGTAAATTAAGTGAGTACAAATAAATTAAATAAGTACAAATAAATAAGTTACATATAAATTAAGTACATTTACATTATGTACATGTAAAGTATATACATTAGCATACATAAGCAGATATACATTAAGTACATATAAATTAAGTAAGTACATATTAACACAGGTGGGCAATAGCGCGCTACATGTAGCGGCCGCTACATTTTCAGTAGCGGTAGCGGCGCTACATTTAAGCAATTGTAGCGGTAGCGCCCGCTACATTTAGAGCATGTAGCGGTAGCGGCGCTACATTTAAGCAATTGTAGCGGTAGCGCCCGCTACATTTAGAGCATGTAGCGGTAGCGGTCGCTACATTTTAAAGTAGCGCTGCACAGCTCTGCGTATAAATTAAGTAATCTTCGTGGTTCGGTCGAGAAAAAAATACGTTCAAATTTTCAAAAGATTTAGAATAAAATTTTACATTTCCTTTCGACTTAGGACATAACTGGAAAAAGTTGAGTAGGTAGGAGTAAGAATAGGTTAACGATATACAGTATAGTTTGAAAAACCGATAGCCTTGTTATTTTGAACATTTTTCCCGTCATCCCACACATTGACAACACATCGCTTATTTCTAATCCGGAAAAATGTTTTTACAAACCCAACATACTAGTTAAACTACACAATAAACCCAAATATATAAGGATATCTAAATTCTACCTACAATTGTATGACCTAACGTGGGGTGATGTTGGTTGTACAGGGAGACGTTGTACCACAACCCCTGGTATAACCTACCGCTGGGTGGTGTTGGTTGTACTGGGACACGTTGTACCCCGGTGGGTGCATGTTGGTGGGAGCGTCTCGCACCACCAGGAGCTGGGCGGCGAAGGAGGGTACGTGGTCGCTGTCCGCAGGGGTGTCCTCGGGCAACTGGGGTGATAGGGGTGATGAAATAAGTAATGATGTGATGGTAATATTGAGTATCAGTTCTTACATCACTAGTATGTTTAAATCACACGTTCATCATTAAAATAAAAGAAAATGCCCCAACATGTCTTCAATGGGAACGTTTCGGAAACCATCTCCATCATCAGTTCGAGAATAAGATTACAGTCGGTACGGAAAATATAAGTTACGCGAAATTTATTAGAACCTAAGTAACGGAAAAATGGAACATAAAACCTAGTGATTACCTAGGATAGGATAATCCTATCTCTAGGATAGGATTCCTCAGAATAGGATAGGATAATCCTATCCCAAGGATAGGATAGGAACTTCGATGTGACTACGTAAAAACGGAACAAATAACCTTGCAATTACCTAGATAGGATAGGATAATCCTATCCTTAGGAAAGGATAGGAACTTCGATTTGACTGTGCACCCGATGTGATAGCACCTGAATATCCTCGGTTCCACCTCTGGTGGTTCAGATTTAAGCATCTTGGAATCACTGTATAGTTTTGGACGGACACAATAAAACCCAAGAAGGAAGATTTCTCATCTTCTCACCTTATCTCCCTCATCTTCTCACCCTATCTCCCTCATCATCTCACTCTATCTCCCTCATCTACTCACCTTATCTCCCCAATCTCACCTGCAATATGGTGCCCAGCACGTCGCAGCTGTTGCGGTAGGGCCTGTTGCGCTCCGGCCAGTTGTGCTCGGGCGTTGTGAAGCAGTCAGTGGCTGTGTTGTGCAAAGCGGATTTACTGTTAGCCGGAGTTACCCACAGCTCATTGAACTGAGGCTATGTGTAGATATTGCATGCTGATGGTTGGCGTTGGGCCCAGGGCCTGTTTACGAGTCAATTTTGTTACCCACGGCTGCGCTCCCAAAGTAATGATGTGATGATAATATTAACTATCAGTACTTATATCATTAGTATGCTCAAATCACACGTTCATCATTTAAATAAAAGGAAATGCCCCTACATGTCTTCAATTGGAACGTTTCGGAGATCATCTCCATCATCGATTGAAAAAATATACAGAATAAGATTAATTACAGTCGGTACGCAAAATTTAAGTTACGCGAAAGGTATCCTATTTCTAGTATAGGATAATCCTACCCCTAGGATAGGATAGAAACTGCGACGGATCTGTATCTGAGAGCACCTAAAGATCCACGGTTCTATTTCTGGTGGTTCAGATTTGAGCCTCTTGGAATCACTGCATAGTTTTGGACGGAAACCTAACCTAAGAAGGAATATTTATCCTCATCTTCTCACCATATCTCCTTCATCATCTCACCCTATCTCCCTCATCATCTCACCCTATCTACCTCATCTACTCACCTTATTTCCCTAATCTCACCTGCAATATGGTGCCCAGCACGTCGCCTATCACAGGTCCGTCGTACGCCTCAGGCTCAACCCCCTCACTCTTCTCGATGCTGTTGACATATTCTGGCAACGGGGGAGGTGAACGGAAGTTTTCAACCTGTGGGTTGAACTTTACGGGCTCGAAAACCGAATCCGGGGTTTTGAACTCTTCCCTCGTAACTTCCCTATATGGGAGAGGTTGCTCCGACTCCTGTCTGCCGAAATTTTCTATTGTCACCGGCTGGGGTCGACCAGGCCACGCAGACTCGGGACGATTAAGGTCTTTTCTGTGGACCTCCGCAGGGGGACTTGGGTTCTTCATGTGGACTTTATTCACCACTCGGGGAGGGAAAGGCCTTGGGGCATGTAAAGGGGGCGGCACTGGGTTCAAAGGGGGCATTGGAGGGGGTTTAAGGTCCAGGGCCTTAGAACTCTCCCCATGGGACGCCCTCTCGTGTTGGTAGTATTGTTCTGGTGGGGCTGGTTGTAGAACTTGTGGGTTGGGTAGAAACTGTGGGTAGTATTGTTGCGGTGGAGCTGGTTGTAGAAGTTGTGGATTGTAAGGTACATGTGAAACTCCTTGAGGAATAACGATTTGGTATGGTTTTCCTTCTATCATGACCACCGATCCCGTCGAATTCTGGTACGGCGGTACGGCCATTTCACCTCCTGGAGGTGGTCGGAATCCACCAGGTGGTAGTTTGCCTGGCACATACCTAACCCCTACAGGTTTTCCGTTTTTCAAGACCTGTTGCATCGGTAGTCGCACCCACATTCCTTTTTTGTCTGGAATAATGGGTGGGTGTTCTTCAGACCAACGACGTTCGGATATCTGGCCTTTGTTCCCGGATTTCTTTCGGCGCGGTTGGACATTGGAATTTGGCCGCCGCTGGATCCGTGGAGAGGGTTGACTCCAACCGGGGAATAGGGTGTCTGAGGAACGGGATGTAGCCACGTCGGGTTTCGGGGGAATGTCGCTGTAAATTAATAACATCATTGCGTTAATTGGTGTGCTGTATTATTTATTAATTGATATAATATAACAACTATTCTCAACGTAGACGTTGAGGCCCTAAAGGTTATGGATTGGTCAATTGGTCAGCGTATTATACAGATTGAGCAGCATCCTAATTAAGGTTGATGCTCACTTACTCAAATAATTATTTATTAATTGTTATTAATAATATATTTAATAATAATTATTATTATTTTATCAATAATTAATAATAAAAACTATCAATAAATAATAATTAATTAATAATTATATATTAATTGTTACCTAATATTCCCTCTCTTTATTAAGTTTGCTCACCTCTTGGCCGGAGGGGCGTCATCCCCGTACCGCGTAGGCGGACTGACGACCGCGTCAGCTTTCTGAAACTAAAAGGGGAAGAACAGTGAGAAAATACGAAAAAGTTTGAATGCGAGTTTCAAAATGTATTAAAACTTCAACTTTATTTCTTGTGACAGAATAGCAACCCGATCGCTTCCTACTTTGCTGTTGAATAATTAAACATCAAGGTTCAAAACAATGCGCAAATCAAAACCCCCTTGCACGGCATTCACCGAAGATTCCTAATAAAATTTAGACGTGGTAGCGACTCTGCATTAGGTGCCACCCGGGACTCGGGGAGCGCGTAAATCAGCTTCTTAATGCCAACCTCGGCTCAGTGTTTGAAAGACAGCCTCGGCAGCCTGCTATCTCGGTATGACTAGGCTCGGCCAACCCTTGTCATACTCTCAGGCGACTATAAAGTTAGAAAAGAGATTCTGACCAACCCTATCAAAATTTTAAGTTGGCGGCCCTGAATTAGGAACTGTCTAGAACTCGGATCGAACGTAAATCAGCTTCTCTATGTCCGCTTTTTGGTCTACATTCCGGTCCCCGAATCAGACAGCTACAAGCGCCTGGTCCTATTCTGCCAACTCTTACAGAATAAGGACCAGGCGCTTGTAGCTGTCTGATTCGGGGACCGGAATGTAGACCGAAAAGCGGACATAGAGAAGCTGATTTACGTTCGGTCCGAGTCCTAGGCGGTTCCTAATTCAGGGTCGCCACCAATTCAAAATTTTGATGGGCCGGGCAAAACCTGATTTCGATCAGGTGGCCAACCAGACCCAGAATAACTCTAACGCGAACATCGCAACTCTGAGGCGGAGGCTGAAGCATACCCCGAAGTATGTTAGGGAAAAACTGATTTCGAGCGGCCAGAAGCTGTAGTTCTAGCACGACACCCACCGAAGACCTGCTGTAGAGTCTGTGTTCGTCGAAAGGATACTTGAGGTTGGGGTGTGGGGACGGCGGCCGCACTTCCTCATAAGGATCCTCCTCTTCAGGGATCCTGTTGGTGTTGCGGATGGAGTGGGGGAATCCTTGTTCATCCCCAAGCCCCAGGGCTGAGGGACAACCAAATTATTTTCTGTTAAGCCATTGGTTTAGCCATTAGGGAAACTTGGTGCTACTTCAAACATTAGGTTCACTTTCCGTTATAGCTGAACCATTAGATTCCATCAACGCTAGTTAGACCATTACGATCATTAATGCTTGTTTAGCCATTAAGTCTTTTTAATTATAGTTTGATCATTAAATCCTTTACGCTATTTCATCCTTTAGGTTGCTTTTAAAGCTAGTCTTACCATTGAGTTCAATTAATGCTAGTTCAACCATTAAGTTCTTTTAATGCTAGTTTAACCGTTAGGTTCCACTTGATGCTAGTCAACCATTAAGTTCAATTAATGCTCATTCAACCATTAATCTCAATTAATGCTAGTTCAACCAATATTTTCAATTAATGATAGTTCAACCATTAAGTTCAACTAATGCTAGTTCAACCATTATTTCTAACTAATGCTAGTTCAATCATTCTCATCAATTAATGTTAATCAAACCATTAAGCTCAACTAATGCTAGTTCACCCATTAGGTTCAATTGATGCAAGTTCAACCATTATTCTTAATTAATGCTACACCAACCATTAAGTTCAATTAATTCAACCCTCATTTGAACGCACCGAAGTCAAATCATTAAGTTCAACTAATGCCTAGTTCACCCATTATATTCAATTAATGCTAGTTCACCCATTAAGTTCAATTAATGCTAGTTCACCCATTAAGTTCAATTAATGCTAGTTCACCCATTATATTCAATTAATGCTAGTTCACCCATTAAGTTCAATTAATGCTAGTTCACCCATTAAGTTCAATTAATGCTAGTTCACCCATTAAGTTCAATTAATGCTAGTTCACCCATTAAGTTCAATTAATGCTAGTTCACCCATTAAGTTCAATTAATGCTAGTTCACCCATTATATTCAATTAATGCTAGTTCACCCATTAAGTTCAATTAATGCTAGTTCACCCATTATATTCAATTAATGCTAGTTCACCCATTATATTCAATTAATGCTAGTTCACCCATTAAGTTCAATTAATGNCAATACCTGGTAACGCAGGGCAATACCTGGTAACGCAGGCAATACCTGGTAACGCAGGCAATACCTGGTAACGCAGGCAATACCTGGTAACGCAGGCAATACCTGGTAACGCAGGGCAATACCTGGTAACGCAGGGCAATACCCAAGCATGACTCACCATATTCACCATGCCATAGTTACCATCATAATTTTAATGTTTATTGTATTTATTTCAAGTAATGTTCATTATCATACTCATCATATTTTCGTTACCATAAGGGAATATCATTGAGTTGACATCTTTATCATTTCATGTAAACTTTTCAACAGTCATCATTATAATACCTTGAGTAATGGTGCAGGGATAATGATGTCACTAAGACATCATTATTTATATCACGATTAATTAATGGTTAATCATAATGTAATTAATGATGACATACCACGACATCATTAATGATTAATAAAAACTGCATCATATTGTGACATCATATGAATGAGATCACTTGTATCATCACACCACTATTTTGCATCATCTATTTTACATGTCATCGCATTACGGTGTCGAGAAAAATAACTCATTATTTATTCGTTACGAATATTTATTATAATATCAATATCAACATTATCATTATTATATAATAGTTCGTCAGAAGTTCTTCCTGTATGGAATTTACATTAAAGACCAAAGAATACATTTTATTAATATTTTTTTTGCTACCATATTTCAAATTTACGTTAATCATTTTCAAAATAAATTTTTGTTTTGCATGAGCTAAAATTGAAATTTATAAATGGCACAAGTGACTCTAATTAATATTTAAATTTATATACTTTTTTTTAAATTTCGGTAACCTGCCAACGCCAGCAAGAAACATCGATCGATTTGTTAAAAAAATTACGAAGAATAAGAAAATTATTATTAAAATGTATTGAAATATAGAATAATAAGTCTAAATGTATGTAAAATGTTGAAACATGCAAAAGAAAAATAATGGCATACTCACTAATTAGCATGTATAATCACTAATTAATATGTTCACTCGTATACTTTTAATAATACCCGCCGTATACTCACCAATTAACATACTCACTCGTATATTTTTAATTACACACTTCGTAATTATACACTAATTAATAACACTTCTTAATTATACACTAATTTAATTTAATTAATTATACACTCACCAATTAATACGGAGAGGACGAGAAGTGCATGAGACCAGCGTATATTGATCCTACCCATACCTGTGCACTTGTTCGTATTATAGTAATTTTTATATATGTAGATATTTTTTTTAACTCCTGGAACGTTTGACAAAAGTAAAAAGTGAAAATTGTTATTAAAAATCGTTGGTATGTAAAGAAAAAAATATGAGTGCTCTTTTTCGTATTATCGTCTTCTTATATATGTATATTGTTTAAAATCTAGAACGTTCGATGAAGATAAAATGTGGAAATTGTTATCAAAAAATATTTAGCATGTATAGAAAAAATATCTTTGTTAGTGCTTGTTACCCATTAACCAACAGTGATTTCAGAATAAATATGTGTGCACTTGTTTGTATTATCGTATTTTGTATATATGAAAATTTTTTGTAAAAAATCCTGGATCGTGTGTCAAAAATTTAAAGTTGAAATTGTCATCAAAAAATCGTTATTATGTACACGAAAAATATTTGTGCGCTTGTTAACCTCGTATTATCGTATTTTGTATATACATTTATATATGTATAGATTTTTTTAAAATCCTGGAACGTTTGACGAAAATAATAAGTCGAAATTGTCATAAAAAAATTGTTTGTATGTAAAGGAAAAAATAACTGTGCACTTGTTAACCTCGTATTATCGTATTTGCATTTATGTATATATTCTTTAAATCCTGGATCGTTTGAAGAAAATAATAAGTCATAATTGTCATAAAAAATCGTTAGTATTTATGGAAAAAAAATACGGTTTTTTCCTCTTTACGCAAATTAAAAGTGAAAATTGTCATTAAAAAATCGGTAGTATTTATGGGGAAAAATGTCTCTTTTTAGCGCATTTTCTCATTTATGGAAAAAATGCCCTATTGTGCTCGCCATGTCCGTCTGTCTGACTGTCCATCCGTCTTTCCGTCCGTCTGTCCGTGACTTCAAGTTTTCGTCGACGAGAAAATGCGCTCTCTGTCACTCACTGCAGTGAGTACTGAGTTATATTTTTTGTATATATGACGCGTTGTTGACCTCGTAAGAATGTGGGTCAAGAAAATGCGCTCTCTGTCACTCACTGCAGTGAGTACTGAGTTATATTTTTTTCATATATGACGCGTTGTTGACCTCGTAAGAATGTGGGTCCCCACTGCCATCAAACATTCGTACAGCCTGAGAAATTGTGTCGACATTTCCGTTTAATTTCTTTTTGTGTCATCACGACCCGTGAAATAATTTCTATTTACTTCCTGTGTAATTTTTTCATAATTTTTTATACTGGCAAATATACTTATAATTATATATATACTTTTATATATACTAATTTTATGCCGGCACCTCGTCGACAAATCGTGACTTGGGCGCGCGACTCGATCAGGTTCCGGCCGATCGATTGACAATTCAGGTAAGAATAGCATTGTGGCGAGAGATGGGGAAGCTGATGAGAAGGCTGGCGTGTTGATGATTTCAAACTAAACACGCGCCACTCGATCATGTACCGACCGATCGATTGACAATTCAGGTAAGAATAGCATTGATGCGACAGATGTGGATGCTGATGTCAAGCCTGGCGTGTTGCTTATTTCTAAATAAACACGCGCAACTCGATCAAGTCCCGACCGATCGATTGACAATTTTGGTAAGAATAGCATTGTGGCGAGAGATGGGGAAGCTGATGACAAGCCTGGCGTGTTGACGATTTCTAAATAAACACATTTGTGTATTTATTATTGGACGTGTCACCGCACTGCTGACACTTATTTCCTGAGTCGATCTTTGTAGAAGTTTTCGATATTTTGGGGGACTTGTTCATTGCTTTCTAATTTATTATTATTTATTCTATTTTATGTTTCTTTTCTATTTTATGGTTGATTTTATAATTTTTGGTTATTTTTTTGATTAGTTTTCTGATTTTTGGGTTGTTTTTAGCGCATTTTGTCATTTATGGAAGAAAAGGCGCTATTGTGCTCGTCATGTCCGTCCGTGACTTCACGTCACGGACGGACGAGAAAATGCGCTCTCTGACACTCACTGCAGTGAGTACTGATCTAATTTTTTCTATTTATCGTTGTTTCCTTTTAATAATGATTTTCCAATATAACGGTTTTTTACGTAACGGTTAAAATTTTTTAATGTGTTTATTGCTTTCCAATACTTTTTGCTCGCAATCGAATTTTCACATTATTGACAGAGATATTATTATTAGTGTCATTTTGTTGCTTCAGTGATATAAATTTTTAAATGGTCATTGTCTCATTTGAGTTAGGTTAGGTTAACTTTAAATTTATTTACTACGCACGAATCGTCAATATCTTGCGATTATCGTGTTTGATCCGCTTGAAATTTGAACATAATTAAATAAGAACTTTTGTCTAAGTCTTAAATAATTTTTTTCGTTATTGATATTTGTTAAACATTGCATTAAAAGAAAATTTAAAATCGATGTGGAAACTCAAATGCAGTGGCAACTAAAGTGCAGTGGTTCTGCCGGCTGGTCATTACTCTTACGATGAAGCCGAATTTTTTTTTGGCCAGATTTCCTTTAATTGTTTTTGCGCTGCCTAAAGTGGAACAGTTTCATTGTAATTATTAAAATAATTCTGTCATTTTCATGCAGGGAGGTCATTTACATTTTTTCATGTCAAGATAACTGCATAGAAATTATTAAATTAGTCGTATTCCGGGATTTTTTTCTCGACTACGGAAAGAAAGTTCGAGTGATAAAATAATAATTAACAACTTCTTGAGAATTCCCGGTGTCCAAGGCCTTCTGACCTAAAAAGTTTGACTTACA